TCACTGTGTTGTTATGAAGTCAGTTGTGCCAGACAATTTTGGAGGAAGAGACAGATTGTGGGGGGTGCTATAGGGAAAAACTTAAACTGCTGGAATAAAGAGTTTTAAAGGGTTAGTGATGGAAAACTTGCAGGTCAATGGGCATCAATGTTTAAGGTTGGTAAACACTTGTACACGGACGCATATGATACTACCCGCCTAACATTGGCATGTGTTATTCAGGTGTCAAAGTTGTGCAGAGTTGAAGGAAGAAACCACAAAGACAGTGCCAGAAGGATGCTGGACACGTAAAGCCTACAAATCTTGCCACATTAATCAAACATCGTGGTGTCAATACTCAATAAGTTACAACGCAAATCAGAAATTTAAAAAATAATTCCTTTACTGGTCATTTTGAAATGTCAAACTTTGTCCGCAATTGTTAACCACCTCAATCTGTATTATATTTTAGGGTTTTAAAAAAATTCCCTCATGTCCAAATTCAACATGAAGGGGGGTGGTCCACTGCAGAAAGAGGCATTTGAAAATCATGTCCAAATTCAACATGAAGAGGGGTGGTCCACTGCAGAAAGGTATTTGAAAAGAGTGCACTGTTCTCGGTCATTAGAGGTATGTGTATAAACACACAACATTTTGGATCTCCAAAGTCACAAAAATACATGCATTTGCTTTAAAAAGCCAAATGCAAATCTTTCTTTGTCAAAATGTAGATTAATGAATGAATATTTACTATAAGGTGGCGCGAATTGGTTGCTGTTGCGTCTCACAGGTTTTCCAAACTCAAGTGATTCACTGTCATGTGAATCTTCATCTTTGCTCAACTCTCCTCTTTCATCTAGAGGTCTGCGTTGTTCTTGAGATACTAAGAATATAGAGGAACAAAGCAATATCAACAAAAAACTGTAAGTCTTCATTTGTTTAAATCTCAATGAAAAATATTTCTAAAACAAAATATGGATAGGCCTGTGAAATAAGTTCCTGATTGAATACATTTCAAAACTCTATCAATAGCATTTGTGGAATACGGTCAATTATGTGAGCAGTGAAATATGTAAATATGTACTTTTGTTGTGCAAATACTGTATGTACTTTCGTTGGAAGTGCATTACTGTAACTGGGTCATCAAGAGAGCTTAGGGTAAACCTACAACATTAAGATATTTTTTTGACGTAGCAGTACTTACACCCAGGAGAAGTTAGCTCTACGTTGCTGTGTAGATTATGCTCTTCTCCAGTAGTTTGGATTTCTTGCTCTTTCTTTGTCGTTCCTCCCTCTTTGGACTCCAGTTCCTTCTCTCTGCTACTCAGACCTTTCTCCTGCCTTAATCTGTCCTCCAATTCCTTAAGTTTTTGTTCCCACTCTCTTTCTTTGAGTTTCTGTTGCTCCAGTTCTCTTTGGAGCTTCTCATTTTCACTCTTCATCTGACTGTCATGATGAACATAATCATCAGTCAAGGATGAATACATGTCCTTCAAGGTGCTCACAGTCTCTTTATAAGCCATCATCAGTCATGAATACATGTCCTTCAAGGTGCTCACAGTGTCTTTACAAGCCGCAAGCTGTTCTTTCAGTGCATTCTCACGTTCAGTAAAATCATCAATGATAGAAGGAAACATGTTTTTCAAGGTGGTGTCGCTACATTCTTTGAACAGCAGATCTTCT